TGACGGATGGACGTCGTGGCGCATCGACCCGTTCATCATGTTTCGAGGCGGAGCGCGTTGGATACCACCATCAACATCCGAGAGTGCGATGAAGCGCTCTGGGACCAAGCTCTCGCCGGAAGATCGCAAAAGTCTCGAAGAGATCTTGCGCCACGTCACCACATCTCGAGATGACGTACGCGACGCGATGGAGTTTGCGGTGGAGCGAGCCGAGTGCGCTGGGGACGTCGTGGACGTCATCGCGTCCTCCCTCATCGAACCAGACGCCTCGCTCGGGACCGTCATCGCGCGTCTGTACGTCGTCTCCGATATCCTACACAACGCATCGGCGCCCGTCCGAGGCGTCCAGGCCTACCGCACCGAGTTCTCGCGAATTCTCCCTCGAGTGTTCGCCTCGCTCGAGCGGCTCGCCTCGGATGCCCGCGTGTCTAAATCCACGCGCGATGCCTTCACCAAGAACGTCACCGACGTCCTCCACTGTTGGAGTGACTGGTGCGTTTTCGCTGACACCGTCGTGGACGATCTCCGAGCCACCTTCACCGCCGCTCCGTAGCCTCGACGCGGCCGGTTCCGCATTGTAAAATATGAAACCGCGAATAGCTTCACGGAGCCCTCACTCACCGACGTCCGATGAAGGTCGCCGCGATCCAGCCCACTCGGCGTTGCGTCCACGCGCGAGCGCCCGTTCGCGAGCGCCGCCGCGCCCCGCCGAACCCGCTCAGAGCGACGATTATCGAAAATTCAGACACCTCCACCGAGTACACGATACAAATGACAACCGAAGAGGCTCGCAAGTGTTTACGCTTCGACGCCATCGTCGTCGCCGATAACGAGCGCGCGATATTCGTCAGCGGCGTGGCGAGAGATTCATCCGCGGAGCGGTGCGGGATCGTCCCTGGGCAGCGCTTGAGGGCGCTGACGAACCCGGTGGATAAGGAGGCGATGATGTTCCTCGGGGACGGGCAGCGGTTAGCGTTCGTGAAGGACGCGGTTCGATCGACGCGATTAGAGGAGCTGACATTCATATTGGAGAAGGAAATAAGCGTGACGCAAGAGATGGTGGCGGCGGCGATGAGCGAAGAGGAGCGAGAGGAGGAGGCGATGCGAGCGGAGCGGGCGAGGGTGAAGAACGAGACGCCGACGCGCAGGACGGATCGAGAGGGGAAGAAGATCAAGGACCGACCGGATCTCTACAGCGATAAGTGGGAGGGGGATGAGTATACGGGGTCGTTCTGGAACGAGTTGGTGCGTCGAGCGCGGATCATGAGTATTTTTGTATCGCGGCGAGTGACTGACGAAACGATTCGCGCCTTCGCAGACGGTGGGCATAGCGGTGGCCGTCGTCGTGCCCCTGGTCATCACCGTGCTCGCGACGACGACTCGGGGGGTTTTGTGGGACGTCACACGATTTTAATTAGCGATATTTGGTGATTTATTTTACACCATGTAATTGATTGGTACCTACGCGGTCGTCGAACGACGCCGCTCTCATCGGTTACCGGCGCCGTACTTTGCGCTCGGGATGGCCCCGCGTTCTTCGAATGCCTTGACGTCATCCGGGGGCAGACCGGTGCCGGTGACTTCGTTACCCACAGAGACCCAGAAATCGCGCAGGTTGTTCTTGCGGGCGAAGATCTCCAGGTACCTCCCGTTCGGGACGAGCTCCTCGATGAGCTCGTAAATCTCCGTCGGCTTTTGGGATTGTCCACGTCTCGGCGCAAAGATGATGTCGCTACCGATCGCTTTATCCTTCAATCCGGGCGGGGTGTCGCCTCTTCGCGCGACGAGGCACACCTCCTTTGCGTGCTGAAGGTAAAAGCCGTGCGACTTTGCAAGTCGTCGCGAGTTCGTCACCTTGACCCAAACGATCTCGTCCACGAACTCGTATCCCCATTTCTTGAACTGGTTCAAGCACCACTGATATTTGGCGTTAATCACCCACACGAAGAGCAGGCCGTTCTTTTGCAACTGCGGCAGCGGCAGGTTCGCAATGTCTTGGTCGGTGAGCTGCGAGTACCCCAGGCTCACCCCTCGCGTCGGATTCGCCGTCGCCAACTGCCAAGGCGGATCCATCATGATCACGTCAAACTGTTCGTGTTCGTACATCGGCCTCCAATCGTACGTCGTCACGTTCGCGTGCACCGGAATGCACTGCGGCGGCACCATCCACTCTCTCGGATCGATGTCGTCGATGTTCGGTCCCTCCGCCTCGTCCTCGTCCTCGTCCTCGTCGCTTCCGGACGACGCTCGTTCGCGCAGCTCCACCGCGTCCACGCCTCGCACCACCCCTCCACACTTCTCAATCTCACCCTTCAACGTCCGCACCGCGTTCCGATACGTCTCGATCACCGCCAGTAACGCGTCGTCGTCCGCCGCCGCCCACTCGGCGCGCTTCGCCTCGGCGCTCTTCCCGAGCAAATCATCCAACGTCTCCGCGTCCAGCGTCTCCCGACGACGTCGCGCCACCGCCATGGCGTTCGAGAGCGCGATCGCGAACCCTTTAAACCGCGAATTCGGCGCACAGCACGCGCACGGACGACCGTCGCGGGCGCGATGGGTGGTCGATTTCGAAAATTTCGAAATCCTCCTCGATGCGCCCCGTCGTCGCCTCGCGCGCCGTCGGTCGCGCGCGTCGCCTCGCGCGCGCGCGGGCGTCGCGCGGGTGCGGGCGCGCGGTGGGTGTGGCGCCGATTCGAGCGCGCGCGAAGCGGACGCGGCGTCGCGCGGTGTCGAACGCCGCGAGCTGTCTGTACATGCGATGAAGTGAAAATACACGGGTGATTGATTGGCGAATTCAAAAACGCCTAGGCTTAGGCCTCGGGCTTGGTCGTCGCGAGACGCTCGATGTTCTTGGAGACGTGGGCGATGCCGCCGACGACGCCCGCGTCCTTGACCGCGTCGGAAAAATCCTTGAAATCTTTCTCAATCTGTTCCTTGGCGCGCGCGGCGGCCTGGGCGAAGAAGGAGGGTCCGCGGGCGGCCGACGGACGCGCGGGCCTGGGTTCGGTGCGAGGGGGAAGGGCGAACCCGGCGCCGGAACCGACGATGGTTCGCTCGATCGGCGACGTGGGAAGCGAAGACGAGAGCGTTCGCTCGAGCTCACTCCCCGACGGAGACGGGGGCGGACTTCGCATGAATTGCTCAGCCGGCGGCGACGTCGCGAGCGCGTCCAAGGATGGACGCGTCGCCGACGGGGACTCGGCGAAGACATCCGGAGCCTGCGGTGTCGTCGGCTCGCTTTTCTCCAGTTCCTCTGCGTCGATCATTTCTTTCTCCATCGATTCTTTCAAGCGCTCGTCGTCGTCGTCGTCATCGTCGTCCTCGGCGGCGGCGGCGGCGTCCTCGGCGGCGGCGGCGGCCTTGGTCGTCGTCGGCGCGACGAGCGCTTCCTCGACGGAGAGCTCGATGAGGTCCACGAACGGACGAAGCTCTTTCCAAGGCTCAGCGACGCAGTGCGGGATTAAGAGCTGGTTATGCATCTCGCCGACGAACTGATTTCGTAAGAACTGCGAGACGCGCGTGAGCACGCCCTCGTGCGAGATGCTCGTTTCGCCGAGTTCGGGAATGATTTCCAAGTCGACGTCAGGCTCTCGCATCAGACCCCACCACAAGCGATCGCCCGGCGGCGGAGGAATCCACAAACGCAGAACTCCTTGGCATTTCTTGAGCGTCAGCGTGAATCGAAGCGGCGTCGCGCGAAGGGTGTCAGAGAGCGAGGCGACGAGTTTCGCCCCCTCTCGCGCGGCCGCCTTCTTCAGGCTCGAGAAGCCTCGCCCGAAGTCGTCGGCGATGTCCTCCGATTTATTCGCCTCGCTCTCCATGTCTTGCGCATACTTCGATAAATCGACTCGAGTTTGCACCGTCATCGTCGCTCGACCGACGTACTCGATGTCGAGCTCGAGGGCGTGCGAGGCGCCGCGACCGGGCATGTCCGCGCCGTCCCAAGGCGCACTCGACGACGAAAAGTTCGGCACGCGCGCGCTGATGACGTGCGGCACGGTGGAGCCGAAATCGATGTGCGTGATCTCGAAAGCACCGATGAACTTCGGCGTCCCCGGGGCGTTGTTCAGCTTGTCTATGAGCTTTTGCTTTTGCTCGCTTTGCCATCGTTCGTCGCGAAACATGTCGAAGAACAGCCTCGAGCCGAGCGCGTTGATCGTCGCACCCGCGACGCCGGCGCCGAACCCGTGCGTTCCCTTCGCCTCGGCGTCTCGGCGCATGGACTCCTCCCTGTACATTTTCGTCGCGAGCGTGAACTTTTCAAAGTCATCCGCGTCGACGCGCATGCGATCGAGCGCTCGCGCGTGCTCTTCGCGCGCACCGCCGCTTTCGGCTCGAATCCGCGCGATGCACGACCGCAGCGCGACGAACCACGCCTCCTTCGCCGGCGACGAGAGCGCGAACAACCACACGACGGAGGACTCGCGATGGACGAATCCGTCGCCCCCCCCCCCGCCCGCCCGCCCCGTTCGACGCAACACCACGGGCGTGGACGCGTGCCAACGAATCTCCGTCGGCTTATCCAACCCAGGAAATTTCACCAGCGCCACCTCGCACGCGCTCGCGTCCAGGACGTCCGTCGTCTCTCCGCCGCGCTCCGTCGACAGCGACACCAATCCATCCGTCGTCAACCGCGCGAACCGTTTCTCCCCGTTCGCCCGCGCGTGCGCCACCCCCCGCGCGCTCGGCGCGCTCACGATCAACCATCCCGCGTGCGCGGTCCCCCGTCCCGTCCCCCCCCCGCGCGCGTTCGTCTCCGCCGTCGCCGCGTCGCGGTCCCCGAATTCCTCCGTCGCCGCGTCCCGCGCCTCCCGCCCCGCGTCCCGCGTCTTCGCGCGCGCGCGCAGGGCGACGCCCACCGCGACCGCCTCGAGGGCGACCGCGACGAACGCCCCGAACGCGCACCCGCGCGCGAACGCCGCGGTTTCCGCGCTCACGCGCGTCGTCTCCCAGGGCGACCGCCGCGAGGGCGACGCCGAGCGCGCCGACGCCACCGCGAGGGCGCGCGCGGGCGTCGCGCGGCGGCGTCGACATCGCGCGCCGCGGTCGCGCGTCGCGCGCGGGCGCCACGGCGCGGCGTCGGCGTCGTCGAGGAATGATGTCGACGATGATGATGGCGATGATGTCACGCGCGTGCGGTGTACATGGGGTATATTAGAATAGAATACACGGTCGTTACGTGTACACTATTACCTCCGAATACTATATACGTCACATACGCCCGTCACGCGCGTGCGGTGTACATAGAGTATATTCGAATATCATACACGGTCGTTACGTGTACACTATTACCTCGTACTACTATATACGTCACATACGCCCGTCACGCGCGTGCGGTGTACATGGAGTGTATTCGAATAGCATACACGGTCGTTACGTGTACACTATTACCTCGTACTACTATATACGGCATATACGCCCGTCACGCGCGTGCGGTGTACATAGAGTATATTCGAATATCATACACGGTCGTTACGTGTACACTATTACCTCGTAATACTATATACGTCACATACGTCCGTCACGCGCGCCGGAGACGGCGGTGGGTGCCGTGATGGGGATATGTGGTGTACACTATGGGAAGCCCGCGTGTCGCGCCCCATCGCGCCATCGCGCGACGCGCCATCGCGCGATGACCGCGGGGTCTCTCGCGCGAACGCGCGCGCGAGAGAGAGCGACGCGAACGCGACGCGACGGGACGACGGCTTCGACGACGGCGTCGGCGGACGAACGCGCGCGCGCGCGCGTGACCCGGGCGATGGCGCGCGCGGCGGACAACCCGCACACGATCACGGGACTCATCGTCCTCGCGATCGCGCTCGCGGTGACGGCGAACGTGATCAGTGGTGACGGGATGGTGGAGACGGTGGCGTCTTCGCGGGCGGCGACGCGACGAGGGATCGTGGGGGGGGTTTGGGCGTACGCGGCGTACGGCGCGATGCAAGGACCGGATACGCACATGACGCGACCGCACGCGTCGGTGTGGCGCGTCGTCCACGCGTTGTTCATCGTGTATTTGCTCGCGCTGGTGTTTCTGTTGCATCAGACCCCGAGAGGGGCGCAGGAGACGTTGAAGTTTTTTTGGGACGATTTGGGAACGCCGCTCGAGTCGAGGAGTTACGGTGAAGATTGTCGGATTTACGTCCCGGGACATCGAAGCGGGGCGTTTGGGATCGTCAAGGAGACTATTTTTGACGAGTTCACGCTCGCGCACTTCATGGGGTGGATGGGCAAGGCGATCGCGATCAGGGACTGGGGATTGGTGTGGGCGTACTCGGTCGCGTTCGAGCTGTGCGAGATTACGTTCGAGCACTGGCAACCGAATTTCAACGAGTGTTGGTGGGACATGTGGGTGTGGGATGTCTTGGTCTGTAACGCCCTCGGGATCGCTCTCGGGATGTGGACGGTGCGGTTTCTCCGAGGACGCATGTACGATTGGAGCGGGAAACAGTCGCGCAAAGGCAGTTCCGCTATTGAGGACGACGACGAAGACGACGACGCGCGGAGAAGTCGTCGCGGCGATCCCCCGTCTTCGCCCTTGGTCGATGCGCTCAAGTCCGTCGTCGCGGTGATCACTCCGGACAGCGTCGAAAAGTACACGTGGCGCCCGACGGACTCCCCGGCGAGGTTTTTGAAGAGCGCGTTCTTGGTGTTTTGCGGCTTGGCGTTTGACTTGAATCTCTTCTTCCTCAAGTACGTCCTGCAGATCCCCACGACGCACAGCGTGTCGTTATTCCGTCTATACATATGGTTCGGTATGTCAAACATCGCCATAAGAGAGTACTACGTCTTCATAGAGGAACCGGACGCGTCCAAGGCGAAGCTCGGACCGAACGCGTGGTTAGCCATGGCGGTACTCGTGGTGGAGATGCTCGTCATCGTGAAACACGGTCGAGGGAAGTTCACGAACCCATGGCCCAGACACATATTGCTCGCGTGGTTCATCGCCATCTCGAGCACGACGGTGTACTTGATCGCTTGGCAGCGCAGGATTAACCTCGCGCTGGCGAAACGCGGTGGCTCGGAAAAGGCTCCGGCTCGGGCGAAGAAGACGTCTTCGCGAAGAGGGCGAAAGAGCGCGTAAGTTCACCACATCATCGACAGATGTTTAGACGGCCGAACGTTCGTCCGCTAGGATTGATTCTAATACGATTACACCAATACAATATCACCGATACTGGGGTACCGGTACAACGCGAATGATACATGTACACATCTACGCCCACCCGTCTTTATCGCCGCCGAATTCGTCTATCGCGGCGCGAACGGCATCTGTGCCGTCGCGCGTGAGCGCCGAAACCGCGTAAACGCGCAACGGTTTCGCGCGCTCTCGAAGCGTCTTCAAAGCTCTCGACGTGTTCGGCAAATCCGTTTTCGTCGCCACCACGAACGCCGGCCGCGACGATAACCCGGGCAAGTACTCCTCGAGTTCTTTCCTGAGCACATCGAGCGCATCCCACGGTTTCACGCTGTCGCCGCACGAGACGTCGACGATGTACGCAAACGCCTCGCACCGCTCAATGTGTCGCAAGAAATTATGACCCAGTCCTCGGTTTTCGTGCGCGCCCTTGATCAGGCCCGGGATATCGGCGACGGTTATGGATGTCCCATTCGATCGTTCGATCGCCCCGAGCTGCGGCTGCATCGTCGTGAACGCGTACGAGCCCACTCTTGGGGTTGCGTTTGACAGCGCCCGAAGAAGCGTGCTCTTCCCAGCGTTCGGCAGACCAATCAAACCAACGTCGGCGACGGATTTCAGCTCAAGCACGTACGATCCCTCCTCCCCGGGTTCACCCGGCTCGCGCGTGCCCGCTTCTTTTCCCACGGGCATGCGTCTATTTCCCTTGCCACCGCGTCCACCTGCGGCGAGCACGCACGTCTGTCCCTCAGCCGTCAAGTCGGCGACGATTTCCCACGCGCCTCGACCGAGACCTCTCGGTCGCGTCCATCCACCCTCGCGTCGCGTGCTCGTCGACGCTCCTCCATCTCCATCACCATCGTCGTCATTCATCGCAACTGGCGTAGATGTTCCCCAATTCGACGTGTCCACGACGTCCGGATGTTCGCCGTCATCCTCAAAGCGCTCTCGCCACACCACCGTCCCGAGCGGCACCGTCGCGATTGCGTCCTCGCCTCTCGACCCAATCATCCCTTGACTCCCGCCTGGCTTCCCCCGTCCTCCCATTAACAAATTTTTAATCTCACCCAGCCCCTTCGTCCGTCCACACGCCGTGATCACCGCGTCGCCGCCGCGTCCGCCGTCGCCGCCGTCCGCGCCGCGTCTTCTCCGCGAGCCACCGTCCCGGGCGAACGACACGCACCCACTCCCGCCGAAACCACCGACCGCGCGCACGCGTCGACGGTCGACGTACGCCTTGTCTCTCTCGCGCGCGTCGTCCGCGTGAACGCGCAGCGGGGCGAGAGAAACGCGAGAGGCATCGCTCGTGAACCTGCAGCGCGAGAGACGCGCGTGGTGTAAAAACGTGAAAGCGGCGCGACGACGCATCGCGCGCGGACGTAAACACGCGCGCGATACGATGGAATTGTCGCGTTTGACGTGATGTCGCTCGCTCGAGTCGTCAACGCGACGTGAAGTGCGAAGTGTCGTTATGGATGAGTTTTGTTTTGCATTCGTCCGCGTCACGGAGACGAATCCACGTACTCCTTCGAGGGATGCGAGCCGAGTGATCCTTGTCGGCGGAGCGCACGCTTGCGCTCAAGGTGAACACCGGTACTAAACTCTCGCACGGCGCGCTGAATCGCGACCACGGCGTTGTTGAAGGCGGTGGTGAGGGCGATGAAGTTTCTACGGTCGCGCACCTCGGCGCCGCTCACGGGTGAAGCCGTCGTGGCGATGCGCATGATGGAGTGCGTGCGGTCCATTCTGTACCCAAGGTATCCCAGGGAGACCGCGGGCCAGAACTGTTGGACGCGATCGCCCATCTGGTGGAACATCACCGTCATGCTCACGAAGCGCTGAAGAGAGGCGATGCGAGACTCGTAGAGCTTCATGCTGAGCTCTTGGGATTCCATCAACGTGTTCGTGTGCACGCGCTTGGGAGCGCGTCGTCGAATCGATTGGCCAAAATATGCCTCTGACGAGGGTTCGACCATGAGTAGGCCCTCTTCGTTTCGAGGATCCGCCTCAAGAATGTTCAGCATCTCCATCTCGGGAAGTTCCAAGACAGCCAAGAATTCTTCAAAATCGAGTTCGCCGCTTCCGTCTACATCTGCGTCGCGGAAGAGCTTGGCGATTTGTGCATTTGAGAGCGTCTGGTCGATCTTCTTGTACGCGGTGGTGAACTCCGTGAGACAGAGCGCACCGTCTTTGTTCACGTCGATCTCGTCGAAAATCGAGCGAGCTCGATCTCTTTTCATGTCCGCGTTGATGCGGTCCGAGGTGAGGAGAGCCACGGCGTTTCGATGCGACAGTGTGTGCACCGAAAGCTCCACCGAGTCTTCGTGATAGCGATTGTACGTTCCGAGTAACGCCCCTGGCGATTTACCATCCAAACCCTTCTCCCCTTCGCGCTCAAGTACGAGCTTTTCGCACAGATACAGCGGGCGATGTCGCTTGAGATAAATGGCGTTCTTCGAGAGCGGGAGCCTGAACGGCGAGTGTCCGATTGTAATGGACTCGCACGTGCCGCCAAAGCTCTGTATGCTGCTCGCTTGACTGAGGGAGAGCGAACACGTCGCCTCGGCAGACGTGAGCGCAGATAGTCTCCCATCTGGACGTCCGACGAGGAGCAGACTTCCTCGAACGACGCGATGCGTGTGCCGATGCACGAGGTGGTCGTTCGGGTTCCCGCTCATCACGGCGAGACCCGCGGCGGAATACGAGCACGCAAAAATCTTTGACAAGAACGCCTCAGCCGATTGGGCGACCCAAGGGATGTCCCCGATGACGACAGTTCGCCCGACCATTCGATGCCTCAAATCCCGTCCTTGTACCAACCGTTGTAGAGTTATGCAGATCTGAGGGAGGAAGACGTAAATCAGCGAATCGAAAAATCGCGTGACGTAGAAGGCCCACGTCGCGACGAGTCCACATCCCGTGGCGATGCCGGTGATGAGCGGATATCCTGCCGTGACGGTACCTACGATGTACATGAACGACATTATCCATCCCTTTACACCCTCCAAGACGTGCTCAGACCACACGTCGCCCTGGCTACGAAGAGCACTTTCTGTGTCAGACGAAATGCGTTCGCCCTCGGCAGTCGTACCCACAATCTCCTCGAGAGCGGCGATGTTCAGTTGATTGCACTTCTCGAGTTCGGACAAATCGTGTTTCGTGATCACCGCCCGCGTGTACTTTCGAAAATCGGCGTTATCGAGAATAACGAGCGACATGTGCATGAAAATCTGCGTCAGCAATTGTTGTGTCGCCGCAACGGAAACAGAGCACGGCTCCGCTGGTCTCACACCCACATCCGTGCTGAAAATTCGGCTCGCGAAGAGTTCTTCCGACTTGATCGCTCGAAGCTGTTTGCCAATTTGCGTGTCCCACTCGCTTGCGACGACGAAAATGGACTTCGTAGAGCTGATGATGAGATTCGACGACGCGAGTGGTGCAAAGGTCCCGCCAGAGTGACTGACGACGATTACGATCGAGTCGGTAAAGTCGTCGTTCTTTTTCGAATCTGGGAACCCAATGGTCGGAACTGGCAGGTCTTGACCGAACAGACCGAGAATTTTGTTTGAGCTCACCGCCTTGATGGTCAACGCGGGGAAGGCGTTCGTCAAGTCGGCCGCGAACTGCTCCGCCAACCACAAGGAAACTTCGCAACCCGTGACGACGATATCGTACGACAGAGGCTCCTTAACGGTCCCATCGATGCGTCGCTGCAGTCGTTTCTTCAAACACCGCGCTAAGTTCCACGCAGTGAGACGATTCAGGCTCACTGACCCTTGCGGGCGGTTTCGCCAGTCGGCCTGAATATTGCGCAACACGCGTGGAATGTCCCTAATGTCGTCCAACACGAGGTCTTCGCTGTCCGGGAGCAGAGGTTTGATGAGTTCGTTCCCTTCGAGCCGAGTCATGCGATGGAACAACCTTTTATCCACGCTCACGCTCGAGTGTCTCTCAACTCGACCCTTGCTAAAACCAGTCGAAGGCAAACTCGTGCTCTCCGTGGCGAGGACGGCGGTGACCGTTCCTCCCATGAGCGGATATTGCTCCAAGTGCGAGTATGGTAGAGAGACCGCGGGTGTTCTGTCGTTTCCCCAATCCAACAGACAGATCTCACCATTCAAATCATCCAGGTCCAAGCGCACAGCGGCGTTATCATCGCCGTATTCTCCTCCGCGCACGCTCGCCAGGACGTCGCCGCCGGGAGTGGGAATGGATAATCCAGCCTTCACAGCGGCCTGCTCAGAGCCGTAACAGATCAAGCCTTTTTTAGGATAGAACGCTATGCTCATGGTCTGGCCTCGTGCCGCGACGCACAGCTGGCGGTGGGCGTCCATCGAGTTGGTGATGCACAAACCGAACGAACCCTTTGCATTTGCCAAAAACGTCGCCGTCACGAAGAGGCTGTCGTTATCGAAGAATGCGTCAATGGTGACGCGCACGAACTGCCGCAAGCTCGCCCCCATTTCGTCATCGATTGTACGCTTCAAGATCGACATCGCTGTCCGTCCTTCATTCTCTAGGATCGCAGTGATCTCATCCGTCATGAGCTCGCGCGTATTCGTTTGGAAGCCGAGTTCGCGAACGGTGGATTTCCCACTAGCTAGCATCTTGTCGAGAACGCGCTCGAAAAACAACCCAATCTCCTCGTATTGAGGTAACGAAGGGAGCGTCGCGTTGGCATCGCACTCGCTCGTCTTTAATCCGAGGCAGACGGCGTATCTCACCGCGAGCGCGAAGCACCCCTGCGCTCGGAGCAAATCGACCACGCCGCAAATCGCCGCCGAATCCACCGCACTCGGCGCCTCGAAACCGGTGGCGATCGCGCACCACGCCTGAATGTCTCCGAGTTCGTTCCATCGACCGTTGACTTGGTAAAAGTCGAAATCGCCGTTGTGCGTGACAAAGTTTTCTACGTTCGCCGGCGTCGCCCCCGGCGCGCGCTGTCCTTGCCCGTACGCCCGACACGTCTGCGGCGGCGACCACTGGTGCGGGTGCGTGCCGTCGAACGTCGCCTTGGACGTCGTCGCGAACCGAGTGTGCCCAGAAAAGAACCGCGTCACGTTCTGCGCGGCCATTTTCGCCCCCCCAGATTCGCGTTCCGCCTTGGCGCGAATGAGTTTGCTCAGATCCGTCCGCTTCATGTTCACCACGCGCGAGCGCGCCCCTCTGAGCGCCACCGCGCCGCCGTCTCCCGATGACGATTTCATCTCATTAAACGTCACCACCCCACCGCTCTGCGCCCCCCGCATCATCGTCACGTACACCATCTTCTCCAAAACATCAAACGCCCGCGCCCCCCCAGCCGTCTTCGCCCACGCCGCGTTCACGAGCACGATTCCGAAATTCCCGCACAGCATCGTCGTCACCCGTCCCACCCCCGACCGTCCGAACCCCAAAACATCCGTCCACGCGCTATCGACCACGCACGCCCACAGCGCGATCGTTCTCGCCCGTCGTCGCCGTCCATCCGTCTTCGCCGTCCCGCGCCGCGTCGCCGTCGCCGCCGCCGCCGCCGCCGCGGACGCCGCGAAGCCACTCAGACGCACCACCGCGAGCGTCGTCGACGACGCGCGCGTGCCGACGATTGATTCGACGTCCACCGATCGCGCGACGACGGCGCGGAGACACGTCGTCGCGAGCGCGAGACGTGGCGTCGCGCCGTCGACGCGCGAGATGAGTCGAGCGATGAGCGCGGCGAGGACGTGGGCGAGCTCGTGGACGGCGCCCGCGAGGGCGTACCACGCGCACGCGGATGGGAGGTCGAACCCACATGCGGCGTCGCGCGGCATCGCCCGGGGCGCGCGCGCGCGACGACGACGACGACGACGACGTACGACGACGATGACGACGATGGACGCGACGTTTCGGGTGTTTGGATGTGCGACGTTTCGGGTGTTTGGATGTGCGGAAGTACAATTGACAACGCGCGCGCGTCAGGCTGGCGCGGACGGCGGCGCGCGACGACGGGCGAGCGCGGCGAGGGCGCGGAAAACGGATGATGCGGCGGTGTCGCCGACGCGTGCGACCGCGGTGGGGACGTCGAGGTCTCTGGCGAAGACGTCGAGGTAGGATTTGAGCTCGAGGACGTCGACGCGGCGGGCGGCGACGTCGTCGACGAGGCGGGAGAGAAACGCCCAGGTGTCTCGATTATCCTCGCTCGTGTCGACGAGGAGTCGAAGCTCGATGACGGCGTAGGTGAGGGCGATCGTCGCGCGTTCGACGTGATGGCGGACGCCGTCCACGATCTCGGGAAGGGAGTCCACGTCGTCCACGCCCGAGGCGTCGGCGATGAAATCGGCGAGCGCCGATCTTCGACGAAACGTCGCCGCCGCGTGCGTGGGCGTCGCCAAAGCGGCGAGCGCCTTGGGCCACGATTCCAACTTGGACCCGATCATTTCCAGACGCGTCTGAATCATCCACTTGACGCGCTCGCGCGAGGTCATCGTTCGCAGACGCTCGCGCTCCGCCACGACTTTGGCGTGAAACGCGACGTCCAGCGCCTCTTCAAAATACCCCACGAGCTCTCCCCCGAGCTCGCTCGCGTCACCGCCCGCTCGCCCATCCGCTCGGACACACGCGCGCATCGCCGGCGAGAGCTTCAGATCCCTCAATCCGGCGTCGATCGCCGCCGTCGTCCACCCGTACTCATCCGTCCGCCGCAGCGCCGCGCGCAGCGCGCGCTCGCGCAACACCGTCCGCTCGCTCGCATCTTCCGCGTCCCTGCGCTCGGCGCTCGCTCCATGCACACCACCCCCCGCCGCGGTCGCCGTTCCATCGTCCACGCCCGCGCACGCGCTCGCCGCGAACCCCGCGACGGCGCGTCCGCGCGCCGTCCATCGATCGCGC